CAGCACTTTGGGAGGCTGAGGTGGTTAGATCACGAGGTCAGGAGTTCGAGACCAGCCTGACCAACATGGTGAAACCCTGTCTCTACTAAAAATACAAAAATTAGCTGGACATGGTAGCGCGCACCTGTAATCCCAGCTACTCACGAGGCTGAGGCAGGAGAATCGCTTGAACCCGGGAGGCAGAGTTTGCAGTAAGCCAAGATCACGCCACTGCACTCCAGTCTGGGCGACAGAGCATGACTCCGTCCCCCCAAAAAACAAAAACAAAACAAAAAAATAAGCAAGAATAATAATAGTCCTCCTATGTCAAAGGAGTTCCTATCTCAAAGGAGTTCCAGTGAGAAACTAGATGTAAAGTGTTTGGCACAGGGCCTGGCCCATAGGTAAATGCTGGATCATCACATTACTACGATGGCCAAAGGCTCTGATCACGAGGGTACCATCAGATAGGAAAAAAGAACAAATGGCATTACACTGACGTTTGGGGATATTTAGAATGCAGTGTATGAAAAACTGGTAATCTACTTTGGTAGGCCAAGGCAGGCAGATCACCTGAGGTCAGGAGTTCAAGACCAGCCTGACCAATAGGGCAAAATTCCATCTCTACTAAAAATACAAAAATTAGCTGGGTGTGGTACTGGGCGCCTGTTATCCCAGCTACTTGGGAAGCTGAGGCAGGAGAATCACATGAACCCGGGAAGTGGAGGCTGCAGTGAGCCAACATCGCACACTGCACTCCAGCCTGCGTGACAGGGTGAGACACTGTCTCAAAAAAAAAAAAAAAAAAAAAAAGAGCCGGGCGCAGTGGCTCAAGCCTGTAATCCCAGCACTTTGGGAGGCGGATCACGAGGTCAGGAGATCGAGACCATCCTGGCGAACACGGTGAAACCCCGTCTCTACTAAAAAATACAAAAAACTAGCCGGGCGAGGTGGCGGGCGCCTGTAGTCCCAGCTACTCGGGAGGCTGAGGCAGGAGAATGGCGTGAACCCAGGAGGCGGAGCTTGCAGTGAGCTGAGATCCAGCCACTGCACTCCAGCCTGGGCGACAGAGCGAGACTCCGTCTCCAAAAAAAAAAAGAAAGAAAAAAGAAAAAAAATCAGTAATCAATATTATGACAAGATCATGCAAAGCCTATGGTCACCATTACAATAACAATAGTCATAACCTTACATTTATGGGATACCTTACTATGGGCCAGGCACTGTGCTACGCAGTTTATATTTAGTTTCACATTTTATTCCCATTTTACAGGTGAGGAATTGAGAGCCAGCATGTTTATATAATTTGTTCATGATTACAAAGCCAGTAACTGGCAAAATGGAGATTTAAATCCAGGCAATCTGCTGTCAAAGCTTGCCTCTGACAGAAATTATCAACCTGAACCTGGGTAAGTCACCTCACATGTTGGGACTTTGATTTTATCCTCTGTAAAATGAGCAGAGTAGTCTAGAATGGGTGCTCTCAAAAGTCCCTCCTAATGTTTTCTTGACAGCAATGCTATTTAAACCCAAATTTACAACATAATATCTCAGCTCTAGTCCTTTTATTAAATTGGTGCATAAGTAATTGTGGGTTTTGCCATTACTTTTATGGCAAAAAAGTAATGGTAAAACCCTCAATTACTTACGCGCCAAACTCATACATACCTAGGCTTCCTTGTCTTATAGAAATATAGAAAGACTCATATATATAATTCCCTTCAGTGGAGTGCCTCACTGTTCCTGAGCTCTGTTGCTGAGAGGTGCATCACCAAAATGCATCGGCCTAATAGAAAACTTCACTAACCCTTTGAATGGAGTCCAAAGAGAATCTTACTTAAAATGAATTCTACCAGACAGCACCTGCACTACATGGACATTAAGGACACATACAACAAACTTAGCTAGAGCTGTAGGACTTGAGTTCAGTCACTCTACCTCTCACGATCTCAGTTTCTCTATTTATAGAAATGAAGTGACTTTTAGATAAAAATAATCCCTAAGAAAGCAGCCACCAAAACCCAGGGAAACAAATCAACTTTATTAGAATAAAAAAGTATTATAGTTTGTAAAACAACATTCAAATACAGTGATTGCTAGGCCAGGCATGGTGGCTCATGCCTGTAATCCCAGCACTTTGGGACGCCAAGGCAGGTGGATCACCTAAGGTCAGGAGTTCAAGACCAGCTTGGCCAACATGGTGAAACCCATCTCTACTAAAAATATAAAAAATTAGCCGGGCGTGGTGGTGGACGCCTTTAATCCCTGCTACTTGGGAGGCTGTGGCAGGAGAATTGCTTGAACCGGGGAGGCGGAGGTTGCAGTGAGCCAAGATCATGCCACTGCACTCCAACCTGGGCAACAAAAGTGAAACTTTGTCTCAAAAAAAAAAAAAAACAGTGATAGTGATTGCTTTTACAATATAAACCATGTAAGTAAAGCTACTCAAAATCTATTGTGTTGGTAGAAACTCGCAAAAAAGAAGCAGTGCAGGGTAGAATGGGTTTCTTTAAAAATTTTAACATACATTAGAGTAGATTACTGTAGAAAGACTCTTTTATTAATAGCTCAAAAAGTCTGTTAAATAAAAAATAAAGTTGGTATTCTATAAACTCTGATTTAAATAAAATCACATTTGCCAGAGTAAATATTTTGAAAAAGTCATCAGAACCACTTATTTTCTGCCTTATTTAGAAAAACTATTTCAACAATGCACATACACAAAATTCTGCACACAAGACTCAGGTGTTCTTTGTTTCTAAGACAAACTTGGTACAGTTATCAACAGAAACCAAGTCTAATATTCCAGCCAAAGCACAACCAGCTTCCTCCTCTGATCCTAAAATTGCTTCAACACCCTAAGCTCCGTTTTATGAAAAAGAAATGAGACATAATGTATATGTAATTCTTCCTGAGGCCAAATAAATAATGCTCAATTTTCAATAAAATCTGTCCTCCTACAAATTTTTTGGCCATTTTTGCCTATCTAATAGCATCACCAGGGATGGAAAGATGAGACTAAACTCAATCCAGTCCATTTGGCTCTTACTAGCATCATTGGTGAATGGTTTGCTGAGTAACAAATGGCAATCCCTATACTACTCATCAATATCAGGTTTGAGGAAACTATGTAGATTTAATCTCTCGCTAATCCCCATGCCAGGAGATAATTCACCAACAGCTAGTTGTATTCAGAGTCAACTCCTAGAAAAAGATAACAAGATCTGTCTACATTATCAGCTCCTGAAACTCCCTGTAAGATTTTAGGTTATCCTCCAGGACTGAACTCAGGTAGGGAGCATGAGAATAAAGAGAGGGAATGTTAGAAAAAGAAGGCCTCTCCTACTAAATGCAGCCTCCCTGCCCTACCCCCTCCAAAAATAAGCACATAAATTCCAGAAAGCAAATTCCTCCTTTTGTCTATGAAACGAATCCCATCTTGCAAAATATCTTCATTTTATTAAAATAAACAAACTTTAGAATGGGAAGAAATACAACTTAATATTAAAATCTTCCATTCCTGAAGGATCGTTGTGAAAATCCCTTGTGAAGATCCTCTCTCGTTAAAAACTCTCATATACACAATTTAGAGGTTTCAGGGACTCCCTTGAACTGTCAAAGTTAAAAATTACTATTCTAACCTAGAGAGTCATGTTCTTCTCAATAACCTCATCTCTTCCTTCATGAATGGGAGCCACTCCAAACATCTGCAATGTAAAGAGATGAAGGCTGCAACTGCACCTGACACTATACCTCTGTCAAACTGTCAGTTCTACCAAGCACTCCTCAAAGGATTTCTGCTTCATTTCCTTGACCATCCAAATTGGGTCTTGATGGAGGCCTTCCCCTCTCCCCTTTTTATTTAACTGAGCCTAGAAGCTTATAACCAAATCAACTTATACCTGAAGGATAAGCGTTTGCCTGGGAGCAAAAGCCGCCCGTGAACATACACCCGTACTACACCTTTCCAACCCAAGATGCCCAGGACGCTGCCAACTGCGATGGCTGTGGACTAGATCAGACGGCAAGAACAGAAACAAGGACACTCTTCATTTCAACCTTTTTGTCTGGGGCACTTCCTGAGTTTTTCATTGGCATTTAACACCAAGACACAAGACTCATTTTTCATTAAAGTTGCAAGACTTTCACTTTGCCCAGTTTCAAATGATGTAATTGATCTGTATTGTCTTCTTAACCCAACTGGTGAAGGACACTGCAGCTTTAAATATTTCAGTGCTAGCTAGCAAATAGACTCCATTGCAATATGGCTCTGAAGGTCACGTCCTATTGTCTCTTACCTCTTGCAAAAAAAAAAAAATCCTTCTTCTAGGTAACATGGAAAGGGTTGCCCTTAGAATTTCCACTCTTCCACCTTCTTGCCTTACACAGTTGTGAGTGTTGATTGGAATCTCACACTCATAATTTTCCCAGCAGGGGCAATATGCTGATTGTTATTAATGATTCTAGCACCTTAGCGAGACATAAACACATGTGTTCACATTAGTTCAATTGAGCATATGCAACCGTCTGAAATAGCACCACTCAAGGGTTGTTAACCTCTTTAAGAGTAAAGCCAGGGTGGTTTGGGTGTGGACAGCTTGCAGGCGGCACCCTGAGCCCAGGATTGCATAACCTGAAATGTGTAGCTACTCAAAATGATAGGAATCTCAGCCTACTCATCCTGGGACTATGCCGGCACCCTGCCACACACTTGCAGCTTTACTTGTCAAAGGAAGTCAAAATAAGAGGTACAAACACCATGAAGGAAAAAATAAACTAAAAGAAAACGGCTTCTTCTACCCTGAAGGGACGAATACGATTCCTCCAGCAATCGCAACGTTCTCCCAACCTCATCTTCCGAGAATGGAACAGCCCTAAAGAACTGGAGGCTTCGGAAGGAGAAAGAGGAGCTGGACATTGCTGCTCTTTTTAAATAAAAGCGGGTAGATGATTAAAAGTCAGAGAAGGGGCAAAAGAAGCGGGGCAGGGGGAAGGAGTGTGCAGGTGCATCAGAGCATTACCTGAAATGGCAACAGATTGTTACCATTATCGGTCCGGAAAGCGTTATCCTCCATCCAGGACTTAGAAGTGAGCGGGGCCGCGCGAGGGAACTTGGGCGGCGCGATCACGTTGCTGGAGAAGGGTTTTTTGAGTGGCGAGATGGGGTTGAGCGGGGAAGGCACCCCGACACCCACACCCACGCCCACACCGACAGCCCGGCGAGGGTCCCGGCCCGCCTGCAGGCCGCCCCAGGGGTTGGACGGTGCGCTCCAGGCTGCATTCACGCTTTGGTGCGTGTTCCAGCTGGACGAGGCCGACGAGGCGGCGGCTGCGGCAGCAGCAGCTGCAACCGCCGAAGACGAGGACGGCTTGCTGGTCATGATGGGCTGGTGGCCGTACGCCGCGGCGGCGCTCCTCTGCGCGTAGGGCGCCTGGCTGGGGCTGGCGGGCGAGCGGCGCTGCTGCGGGGGCTGCGCCTGCGGGGGCTGCGCCGGCTGTGCCGGCTGCGGCGCGGGCGCAGGCGGTGGCGGCTGCTGGTGGTGCTGGGTCTGCGCCAGGCCGATCTGCGGGGAGAAAGTGCCTCCGAAGACTGGGTTGACATGGTGCGGGAAGTTCTGGAAGAGCATGGTCCCGTTGACTGGGGTGATCCCCTGGAAGAAGCTGTCCTCTACCGCGTTCGTGGTGCCCGTGGACCAGGTGCTGCCGAAGGACGGCGACAGCGACGCGCCCGGCGCCGCGGGCTCCTGAGGCGGCGGCGGCTGCTGAGGGGGCTGATGGAAACTCAAGCCTGGCAGGAGCGGTGATTCCATCTGCATCTTGTCCGAGCCGTTGGGGGCCGGCGGGGCAGCGGCTGGGCTGAGGGCCTGCACTGCGCTGTTTTCCTCCGGCTTGGGGGTCTCTGAGGAGTGGGGCGTGGACGGGGTTTCGGATACGCTGGACTCAGGTTGGGGCTGCTGCTGCTGCTGCTGCTGCTGCTGCCGCTGCTGCTGCTGGGGCTGGGGCTGGGTTTTGCTTTTGTCCATCAGTAAATCATCCTGCATGGTTTGCGCAGCTGAAACGGGAAAAAAGAGAGACGCGTTATTGTCAATGTGATCATGAATGTCCCTCGCTGAAGCGGGCGGGTGTTTCACTTGCGAAAATCCATCGCCACCGCTACTAGCCAATTGCAATGCAAATCCATAATCTCCCATTTAGAAGAACAGGTCGGGCTGTTGGGTGGGGGGTAGGGAAGGTGTCGAGCAAGGTCTCTAAAGATACTGTGAGAGCGTCTTCACCCTTTCAGAAGTCTTGGTTCCTTTTCTGTACTAGTGAGAGATGTGCTTATAAGACAGAAAGACAGCAATTTCGCCACGTCTCTTTTCCCTTCACCGGAACTCAGAGCGTTCGCCCTGCAATGAGAAACTGATTCTGGTTCCTGTTTTTTCCCAAGCACCACCCTCCCCCAGTTATTTGCATACGTCAATAAATACTGCTGCGTCCTTCAGCAAGGTTAAAAAGACACCGCACACACGACCCTTTCTTTTCCCTTCCCCAGCTCGAACACTTTTTAAAAAAACAAACAAAACAAACAAAAAAACAGTTTCAGCCCTCTTTATTAGCAAACTGCCTTCTTGCGTTGGTAATTGTTTCATTTAGCTGCAGCGAACCACGAGGGAGGAAATCCTTGGCATTTGTTAGAAGGACTCAGCTGCACAATCATTCTCTGGCCTCCCAGTAACTGCAGCTACTCCATTTTGTTAGGAGACAGTTTAAAAAAAAAACGTTTTTAAAGAAGTAAAAACCTACTGAAACGTTTGGAAGTGCTTGCTTCTTGTTACTCTAAGGATTATGGTTTTTCTGCTTATTCCCCAATTTTCTTGTCTCCAATTCTGCCGCACAAGAGATTTCTTGGCATCTCAGTGCTTCAGGTCTCAACAGGAGCCTGAGAATTTCTCTGCAGAGTGGAGAAATGCTTCTGGTTGGATTTAAGGTCAGAGAGAGAGAGTGCGCGCGAGCGAGCGAGCGCCTGTGAGATAGGGTGGGGGTGGGGCTTTAAAAAAAACCCTGAGATTTAAGTAGGCAGTCAAGATAATTCTGGGGTTGCCAGATTTTCAATTTTGAATCCTCCTGCTGCTGTTGGTCACAAGACTTTGGCAAATTTAGAATCCATTCTCTTATCACTAGTATTAGCAGCGAAACACTATGGTTTGAAGACCCTGAATTACCATATGCTAGCAAAAGTGTTAAAAATAGAGGAGTACAAAGTCCCAAATTTTCATACATTGTAATTATAGTGCATTGCCATCACTGCTTCATTTAGCCATATAAGGAGTGTATGGTATTTTCCATCTCACATAGAAGGGCTATATTCACCTCTACCATATAGCCTGTTTTCTTATTCAAGGATGAAAATTAATCACTCAAAACCCAGAGATGGCCATACATGTAGTTAGCTTGTCCTTAGAACATGTTAATTGCTTTAAATATATAAATATTACACTTCTGAGACCCTAAAAACAAATATTTTGAATGTTAGGGGCATATGACCAAACATATAATTATTTTTAGATGATGATTCAGTACAATTGCAACTAAGTTATTAATAAATTTAATGCAGTTACTTAATTAACCCAGATACTTGGAGAGGAATCTTTCTCAGGACACTTGTGAAAAGGCATTCAGATACACACAGAAGCTCTGGCTTTAGACATCCTCATGATAATAACTATTGTTAAAATCAATGTATCAGAAAATGAAATTATTAACTATTATGCAAAATATATCAGACAAGAAATGGGGTTAAAAGTAGTTCGATTATTTTATTAAAAACTATCATTAAAATGGTTCATTAATATCTTTTATTTCAAAGTTTCATACACAAAATAGTGGTGGGCTAAAGGAAATGCTTCGCAGCCACCTTGCTCTCCCTTCTATTCCTCATTCCCCTGCCTTTCCTCCCTTCAACCCCCCCAGGGAAAAAACCCAACTCAATACAATATACAACACAGATTGCCGGCTACTACCAATAAAATCTGTTTAAGATTGCTTTCGTGTTCCTCAGTTCCCTTGGTCTAAAACAATGGCTTTGATCGGTATTGCAAAATACAATACAAAGAGGCAAATGAAGCTTTGATTTAGAAAGACAAAGTTCTATTGCTGCCAAAGAAGATGGTCATAGAAACAGACATTTTCATACTTGGTTTAAACAGTGCTGCAGTAAACCATTATAATCTGAGATTTGAGTCACTTTCAGTGAGCTAGAATTGTCTTTATAATAGCCATATCATCATGGCTGAAATAGGCATTTGATTATAATTTTAATATCACTCTGCTTTTCCGGTTGCTTTTATCAATGCTTGTTGTTAATGCCTTCAGTTTAAACTACATGCTCTTCATGGAAAAATTAATGCTATACCTCAGCAAAAAAGCCAAAAAGTAAGCTGGACTCAGAACATTTTATAATAGCTGTAATCAATGTTAATATATTCATTGAATTTTAAAAATTTTATACCAGGAACACCCATTTCTCTTCTCAACACTCCTTAAAAATATAAATTTCGCTTTCTGCATAAATTCACTCTGTCAAGGTCAAGACACACCTTTAATAAATAAGACCTTTTCAAACAAAAGGTAAGCAATAGATTAAGATAAAATTTACAAAGGTAGTATGCAACGTCTCTCAGCAACTGCCTGTATAGTTTGTTTTGTGTTCTTGGGGTTGTTTTTTGTTTTTTCGGGTTTTTGTTTTGTTTTTGTTTTTGCTTATTTACAGCAAAGTGAGAAATAGATACCTCCTTCCCCTCCCCCACCACACACAATAGATATTCTTTTACATGCAATAACCCAATTTCAAGTAACAAAATCTTAGTAGCAGTTACCTTTGAGTGTCCAGTTTTTAAGAATCGATAAAATTTAAAAGTATACAGTATTTATTTTCTTCTTTCAGGTTGATTATGTGACCGCTCTGGCAAAAGCACTTTGACAACTGTAAGATGAGAGGGCATGCGCACACAGGGAACTGTGGGGGCTGAAGTCCTTCACAAGGTACTCGGTCTGACTTCAGCACGTTCAGCCGGGAAAGGAGGAAGTCTCACAAATACAGATTCTGAGGGGAAAAGGTTGTGTCCTGATTACATTATATCCTCCTAACCAATCTAAATTACGAGTTGTTGAAATAAAAGGGAGAAAAATAAATTGGTTTGTCAACTTGCCATAGGAAGCCAGGATAAAGGGAAACTGAATTGCAGTACTCAGAATAAATAAACCAAGCAGAGCTACCTTAAATGGTTAGAATGGTAATGACTGGGTAGCCAGCAATAGGAATCCTACTAGAAAGAGACTGGGGTGGAGAGGAATAGGCAAGGGAGGGGGAACTACTGGAGAATGTTAGATACTTAAAATCTGACCATACTTAAACACTTAAATAATTTTTTTAAAAAATTTTCAGCAGAGATGGCATAAAATAATCACTTTTAGTATAGAATAAAAAACACCTTAATATTAAATGTGATATCAACCTTGGAGGTCAGGTAAAAATAGATTTTAGTCATAAATTTTTGACATCCACCAGATGTCTTTGTATTTTAGTTTTCAATGCAGGAATAAATCACTTACTTTAAGACTGTACCTGATAAGCTCTGAATCAACTCACCTCCTTATTTTTGTCAAAATAAAAGTTTACCTTGCATTATTCATACAAATGATTACTCAAATAAACTTCAACTCTTATACTACAATAATATTTGGTGAAATATTTTTAAATAATTGTATATGCTGCCGGGCAGGGTGGCTCATGCCTGTAATCCCAGCGCTTTGGGAGGCCAAGGAGAGTGGATCACCTGAGGTCAGGAGTTCAAGACCAGCCTGGCCAACATGGTGAAACCCCGTCTCTACTAAAAATAAAAAAATTAGCTGAGCATGTTGCCGGGAGGCTGTAATCCCAGCTACTCGGGAGGCTGAGGCAGGAGAATCGCTTGAACCTGGGAGGTAGAGGTTGCAGTGAGCTGAGATCGGGCCACTGCACTCTAGCCTGGGTGACAGAGTAAGACCCTGTCTCAAAAAATAATAATAACAATTGTATATGTTTAGTGTCATACTGCATAAGACAATTATTTCTTTCTTCAAGACAAACAGTAGATACAGTTTTCTGTTTCTGTTGTTTTTTTGAGATAGAGTCTCGCTCTGTCACCCAGGCTGGAGTATAGTGATACGATCTCTGCTCACTGCAACCTCTGCCTCCTGGGTTCAAGCGATTCTCCTGCCTCAGCCTCCCAAGCAGCTAAGACTACAGGTGCGTGCCACCACGGTCGGCTAATTTTTTGTATTTTTAGTAGAAACAGGTTTTCACCGTGTTAGCCAGGATGGTCTAGATCTCTTGACCTCATGATCCACCCGCCTCTGCCTCCCAAAGTACTAGAATTACAGGCATGAGCCACTGCGCCTGGCCCAGTTTCTATTAAAAACTTTTTTTTTTGGTATGGTTTTTCCTATTTTAACCTCATGATTCCAAGGCTGGAATCTCACAACATATTAAAATCAACTGTTATTATCTATAGCTTCTGAGAGCAATAGTGCAAGAACCGGTTTGTTCATGTAGGCAGAAGATATTTCTTGTGGGATTTGGTTCAGTGCCACTCACCCAAGCGGTTAGGAATAAATGTCAGTTGATGACTGTGCTGATTGAACTTGTAACTGAAAATGTCATCATTTAAAATTGTCTTAATTTTCTATTTCCCTTCTTCACCAACCAGAACTGAAGTATTACCAGAAACCACTGATTTGAAGCATATTGTAATCTTTGTTTCTAGTTATTTATTTAAAAACAAACAAACAAAAAAGAAACCTAAGAAAAGAGCCTTTCTTTTTTTTTTTTTTTTTGAGACTGAGTCTCCCTCTGTCACTCAGGCTGGAGTGCAGTAGTGTGATCTCGGCTCACTGCAACCTCTGCCTCCCAGGTTCAAGTGATTCTCCTGCCTCAGCCTCTTGAGTAGCTGGGATTACAGGCACGTGCCACCATGCCCAGCTAATTTTTGTATTTTTAGTAGAGACCGGGTTTCACAACAGTGGTCAGGTTAGTCTCAAACTCCTGACCTCGGCCTCCCAAAGTGATGGGATTACAGACATGAGCCACCGTGCCTGGCCAATAATCTATTTTTTGACCCCCTAAGATTCTAGCCTAAGTCTGCAAGAAAAGAATCACTTTGAATGAATCCACCAAAAGATCTATGTAAAACAACTAAATGTTTACTTATTCCTACTGTGATGTGACCTTAGCTTACATTTCCCATTTTTTTTCTCTTCCTCTAGCCTCCTAGAGAAAGTTCCACTTTTGCCAAGGTGCTGTGGTCACTATTTGGATGCCAAAATTTGCAAGGATCAACTCACAGTTACTTTTATTCCTGAAGACTTTGCTAACCTACCAAACTTTTACCACATTTTCAAGTACTCTAACTAAAATAAAATAGCCGGGCGCAGTGGCTCACGCCTGTAATCCCAGTATTTTGGGAGGCCGAGGCGGGTGAATCACCTGAGTTGAGGAGTTTGAGACCAGCCTGACCAACACGGTGAAACCCCGTCTCTACTAAAACTATAAAAAATTAGCTGGATGTGGTGGCAGGCACCTGTAATCCCATCTACTCAGGAGGCTGAGGCAGGAGAATCACTAGAACCCGGGAAGTGGAGGTTGCAGTAAGCCGAGACCGCACCATTGTACTCCAGCCTGGGAGACAGGGCGAGACTGCGTCTCAAAAATAAATAAAATAAAATAAAATAAAATAAAATAAAAGTAAATACCCTTCATAACATCCTTATAGCTTTAAGAAATGGATTTTCAAGTACTCTAAAATAAAATAATCCTTCATAACATCCTTACAGCTTAAAGAAATAGATTTTTAAAATTATTTGAAATTAGGATGTCAATTTTTTTTTTTTTTGACACAGAGTCTCACTCTGTCGCTCAGGCTGAAGTGCAGTGGCACGATCTCGGGCTCACTGCAACCCCTGCCTCCCGGGTCCAAGCGATTCTCCTGCCTCAGCCTTCCAAGTAGCTGGGGTTTCAGATACCCGCCACCACACCCGGCTAATTTTTTGTAATTTTAGTAGAGACGGGGTTTCACCGTGTTAGTCAGGAGTATCTTGATCTCCTGACTTCATGATCCACCCGCTTCGGCCTCCCAAAGTGCTGGGATTACAGGCATGAGCCACCACACCCGGCCTAGGATGTCAACTTTTAATCAGTAACGTAGACATTTTTAAGTTATTACTTTCAAAATTATGACTTGAAATGGTTTCTCTGGGCATTTATTAATACACCTGACTCTAAGTGCAGGTCTATTAATATGCACAACAGACAAAAATAAACTTTGGCTCTAACCCTTGTTAAACCATAATTAACACTGCCCATACTAAATGGGATTGTATTGTATTGAAAAATAAACTAATCTCTGCTCTTTTTTTTTTTCCTTCCTTAAAATGAGCCTCAAATCTAAAAAGAAAATGACTCGAACATAAACACCAAGGTATAAATATATACCAAGAAAAGAAAAAATTATCAGAGAACCCTCAACAAGAACAAAGCCCTTCTCTACTGAAATGTTGTTTTTTCACTTAACCATAAAAAAAGTATCTTCTTTTTTATTTTTGTAACAGAGTCTTGTCTGTCGCCCGAGGTGGCACGACCTTAGCTAACTGCAACCTCCACCTCCCAGGTTCAAGCAATTCTCCTGCCTCAGCGTCTTGAGTAGTTGGGACCACAGGTGCACACCACCAAGCCTGACTAATTATTTTATTTTCTTTTATCTTTTTATTTGTTTTGAGATGGAGTTTCGCTCTTGTTGCCCAGGCTGGAGTGCAGTGGCGCGATCTCAGCTCACCACAACCTTTGCCTCCCGGGTTCCAGTGATTCTCCTGCCTCAGCCTCCCGAGTAGCTGGGATTACAGGCATGTGCCACCACACCTGGCTAATTTTGTATTTTTAATAGAGATGGGGTTTCTCCATGTTGGTCAGGCTGGTGTTGAGCTCCCAACTTCAGGTGATTCGCCCACCTTGGCCTCCCAAAGTGCTGGGATTACAGGTTAATTTTTATATTTTAAGTAGTGACGGGATTTCACCTTGTTTGCCAGCCCGGTCTCGAACTCTTGACCTCAAGAGATCCGCCTGCCTCGGCTTCCCAAAGGCTGGGATTACAGGTGTGAGCCACCGCACCTAGCCAAAAAAGAGGCACTTTCTGAAATTTTATCTTCAGAGCACAGAACTTCACCATAAATCACCGCCCCCACCTCCTCCTTTTTTTTTTTTTTTTTGCTTTGAGACAGAGTCTCGCTCTGTCACCTAGGCTGGAGTGCAGTGGCGTGATCTTGGCTCACTGCAACCTCTGCCTCACAGCATAAACCCCTTTTGAGTAGCCATTAAGGGCTATAAAAATACTTCACAGAGTTAACTCACGGAGATATATAGTTATTCCTCGGTATCTTGCTGGCTTAGTTCCAAACCCCCTACCCCACCAAATGTCAAAATCCACAGATGCTCAAGTAAGTCCCCTATGTAAAATGACATACCATTTGCATAAAACCTATGCACATCCCCCTATATACTTTAAATCATCTCTAGATTACTTATAATACCTAATACAATGTAAGTGTTATGTAAATAGTTGTTATACTATATTGTTTAGGGAATAATGACAAAAAAAGTTTGTACATGTTCTGTACAAATGCAAGCATTCACTTTTTTTCCAAATATTTTTGATCTGCGGTTGGTTGAATCAAAGAATATGTGGATATGGAACCCACGGATAAGAAAGGACAACTGTACACGGGTCAAATACATCATTTT